TTTGCCAAGCTTGTTTCAAGTAGGTGCTTTAGACCACTGAGCCATCTCTCCAGCTCCTTGAATTTCTTATGAGACATTCATGAGCAAAAAAAATCCTATTTGTAATGATCTGTCTGGAAACTTCTTTGTGCAAAACACAATATTTTTTTTGTTTTGTTTTGTATAGTTGTGACTGAATTTTCCACCGTCTTTGTGCTAAATATATATTGTGCATGGAAATGTCAGCTATAGAGATATTGATGCGTCTATTACATATGACTTAAATAAGCCTACACATCTTGGGAGTGTGTGCTCGAAATCTTTCTATTGATGGGTCATCTGTAATAAAAATGCCTAGAAATCCCTGCTATAAAAGCAAGAGCTAGGCTCAAAATCAGAACTCCTGGGTTCAGGATGTCCCTTGAGCCCTGAGACTCCTGGGAAAGTCCCTAAGGATTCCCGAGTTCCAAGTCTGCTTTGGCACCAAAGCATATGTATTTGGAGAACGGTAAAGGAGTGTGTGTCTGGGCGCTGTGCGGTCGTGCTGGGTCGCTGCTACCCGAGTGCAGGTGCACTTCGTACACCCTCGTGGAGATCACGGAACCTTGAGCACAGTGGTGGATTAGCTAACGGCAACTTGCAACACCCAGCTGAACTCAGTCTATACGGTGCTGGGCGTGCAGGCCCACCCAAGGACTGTCGCCAACCACGTAAAAGGAGGAGTGGAGGGGAAGACGGTTGTGCTGTGGATCCTCCTGGAGAAGTCATCATGCTGGCTTTCCTGCTACGAACTTGCCCTGAGCGTGTCCTCCTGGCTCCAGGGCAGCACCATCGGCTTGTCGGCACCGATCCTTCCTTCCTTCCACAGGCACAGACTTTCTGGCTTCCACCACTGGCCTCTAGGCCTTCCCAGTGCAGATCTTCGCTACAGATTTGCATCAGATATTGTTGTGGGCTCTGTGCTTCCAGCCAGACTCGTGGAGGATATTGCAGCGGGCTTGAAATCTTTAGCTGGACCCCTCAGGACATTGCCATGGGCCTCAGGTGGATTCTTTGGGTCTCTAGATCTCTAGAGCCAGATCTCCTGTACTCTTCTGCATTTGACTTTTTGGATGAATATTATAAAATAATCCTATTAATTATGTCTCCTGGATTAAATCTATTCCCTTGCAAATTATCACTATGGCTACTACATATTGATAATTGAACATGTGCAATTTAAAAGCATATTTGCATACACGAGGGCCCTATAGCCATCTGCATACCTTTATCTTAATTAGAATGAGTGGGAAGGCCACTGGGTTACAGTATTTCATTTCTCCCATCATAACAGTCCTGAAATAAGTGAACATAAAGCACCACAACATTTCCACTGAGATGCTGGGGTTTCGCAACAGTTCTGGAGGGGATACTCAACTCTACTGACAGGGCAGGTGAAAAAACATAGAGAAAAACCCCAAGTCTAACTTGTGTAAATGTCTTGCCGTCGCCTCAAGAAGCCTGGCTCATTTAGGATTGTCACACTGGTAAGAGGAGTGTGGCTTTCCAAGCTCTCATGGGCCACCAAGCTCATTTCTATCCAGTCCTTTCCACTCTGTTGCTCAAGAGGTTGTTTGTTTCCACTACTAGGAAACCTTGTTCTTTGAAGCCACCGACTGTGCTACACTCACTATTTCATCCCCATTTGTCCCCTCCAGGGATGAATGATCAACCAATAAATATTTTAACGCATACTGGGAGCCAAGGTTTATGACTGATGTTGGATTAACTTGCAACTATTCTGGTTCCAAAAAAAAAAAAAAAAGGCAGAAAGACAATGAGTGGACTGGGGGGAGAGTGGGTAAAAGAGACCGAGTGGCCAGTGTGTTGCGAGAGTGTTATTTTGTCCTTTTTCCAACGAGCTGATTTGGAAGGTGGACTTATGATCGGAGAAAAGCCTCGACAGGGAAACGACATGGGGCTGAGCAAGGTGAGGCTGTGTGTCAACGAGAGGACTCACTGTGATGAGCTGTCGTATTTCTTCTGGCTTTCTGTCAAGGAGAAATTGCCTGCCAACTTCCTTTATCTCTTCCTACACAATAAACAACCTGGTTGTTCAAATATTACTCATCCATATTTCGAAACCCACTACTAAAATAAAATTCCAGGAGAACTAAGAGACAGTTTTTTTTTTTTTTAAGAGTGTATGTTAAGCCAGGTGTGGTGGCACACACCTGTCATTCCAGCACTCAGGAGGCTGAGGCAGGAGGATCACTGCAAGTTTGAGACCAGCCTGGCTTACAAAGTGAGCTCAAGCCTGAGCTACATAGCAAGACCCTGTCTCAAAAAGAAAAAAAAAAATGTGTGTTATGTTATTTACCTTATTTTTCTCATAATGGAGCACACAAGTTTAAACTTGTGTGATTGTAGATAGACTATGGCTCAACTTTAATTAACTAATCCCTAGGTTCTGCAGATTAAAGATATGATTAATGAAATACAATCATTAAGGTTGTTGCAAGGGTGGGGATTGTAGCTCGGTGGTGAAGTGCTTGCATAGAAAGTGTGAGGCTATGGATTTGATCTACAGTACCACCAAATTTAATGCTATACAGTATTTTTATTTTATTTAAAAATCATTTATTTATTTGGTACAGGGTCTCACTATACAGGTTGGACTCATAGTGATTCTTCTATCTCAGTCTCCCCATTATAGGCATGTGCTATCATGCCCAGTTTCAGTGGCTGGCACAGTGCATCTGGGGGCCAGTACAGCATGTGGTACGGGAGATCAATCCCAGGTCCTTGCACTTGCCAGGCTGGTGCTTAGATTGCTGAGCTATCTCCCCAGCCCTAAAAATATTTATTGAGATCTAATGTAGGTTAGGTAGAATTTACTCTTTGGAGTTCTATTTTGACAAATTCAGTTGCATAATGACTGCCAGAAACAAGACAGAATATTTATAGCATTAAAGAAAGCTGTCATGTATACCTTTGTGGTAATTTTATCTTCCCCTGACCCTCTGGCAACCTCTGACAGTCTTCTGGCTCTCCAACTAGATCTTTCTGGAAAGTCACATAAATGGGGTAGAATATACAACCTTTTGAATTTGCCTTCCTTCGCTTAGGATGATGCCTTTGGACTCTAGTCAAATAAATTTTAGTCAGATAAAGAATTCTGATCAGCAGAGATCCTGGCTGAAGGGAGATGGGCAGAATATATTGAAGAGACAAAACTTAATAGCAAGTTCAACTATTTCTTAACACATTTGTATTTGCCTCACATCAACATTACTGATATGAAAAGTTTTATTTCTTTAAGAATAAGGACAGTAGCTGTCTCTAGTTACGAACAATACAATAGGTTCCCAGCTCTTGGGCAACTGTATTAGGTAATAATTTAAAAAATACGCTTTCTGAACAGTGACCAGTGTAGCACACAGTGTATACACAATAGGAGCTCAACGTTCTTACCCCACAATATCAGAACTTTACCGTGGGGCATACTGAGGCTTCAGTGGGCCAGAGAAGACTAACCCCAAGAAGGGTAGATGGTACAAGAAAGGATGCACATATGAAGAGGCATATGAGCTGAAATGGAGCGTCTCTGGCCACAGCAGCTTTTGGTGCCAGGTTGTTTATGGAAACCTGACTCTAGGGAAGCCCATCCCCTTTGAAATATGACTCTTGTAATTAATTTTAGAGGGTAGGGTTTGTCCAGAAGAGGGAGTCCCAACCACGTGGCATGAGAATCAGGGCTGAGATCCTGGGAAAAACTGGAATGCAAACTGAGAAGGGTATTGAGCAAAGCTGCTACTTGGCAGACATAGGTAACCCAGGAAACCACCACAGAACACAAGTGGAAGGGCATATATTAGGGATGCCTGGTCCCTATTCCACTGATAGAGCTCCTTAGCATTACTCAGCTCCTTACTCATTACTAAGAGTACCAAGTAATGCCAGTGAGACTTTCATTGGCTGAGGGATGTGACTGTGTTGACACTGAAAATACTAGGCCTTTGGTTTTGACCACTGGGAAAAGTTGAGGGAAAGCAGAGACCTAGCAATGTCCCTTGGTCACAGGGCATGTCCTGAGAGACACTAAATGATTTTGTTGGCTGTGGCATTTTGCTGAGTTAGTGTTGGAAGATATTTATTTATTTATTTTTGGAATATGTAACTTAAGCCGTGTGACAATCTGGAAGAAGCCATAGAGTAACTGAGGAAAAAAGGGCAGGCAAATGGGAAAAGTCAAGTAATCAGAACATGAAGATTTTCCACTTTTATTTTTTGAGGTCTTGAGATATTTCAAATTTTCCAGGATTGAAACAATTTAAACCAGAGCACTTGGGGGCTTCTCATATATCATAAACTTTTAGAAGGTGTAGGACTGGGACTTTGGACACTTTTAAATTGAAATTTTCATATTGGTTTCAGCACACCCACAATACCAAGAAAAGAAAAATTCTGACAAATGTAGATAATTTGCATCAGTAAGAAAAGTTTATTGAAATTCATTAGTAAATGAGAATAGAAAGTTTTCTTTTTCTTTTTTTTCATGAAAGAACACTTTCTGATAAAGTGGAGAGAAGAAATACAGAAATCATAAAACACCTGTTAGACACCTTATTTTCAAGGGGTGAACCTGTTTTCATAGACCGTTAAGACAGAAGTGTTTTCTGGACATTTCATTTTTCATGCCTCTGTATATAATGGCCTGTGAAGAGACCTGCTTTTAATTCAGCTCAGTAGTAGTGTTTCTTGGTTTCTGATTCAACCATAGATGAAAGCACTCTACCATCAGGTGTCACCTCTTCAATAATTGTCTTGATCAATCTGGCTTTGCTAGTATCTGTGTGAATAAAGAAAAAAAAAGGAGAATTTAGATTAAGCCACTTTTGGAGATTCTTGCTAATTAAAGATACATTAAATTTCTCAAAGAGGAGAAAACCCTCAACTTTTTCGTGTTAAAAAAAAAAAAGTCCAAACAGTATTGAAGCCATGGGTAGCATTCAGACTGGGCCACTTTTCAGCCTAGCATCAGAGAGTACAGATTATTTAAAAATGCAAAGGAAAGCCATCTTTAAGATTTTCGTTTTTAAAGCAGCTCCATAATTTAGCAACACCACCAGAGAAAGTTAAAATTGATTCTGATTACCCCAGCTAGATTCTCCTGACCTTGGTCCCTTAGATGATTCGCCAGGGGAACCGGAAGAGGAGGACTTGAAGCCTCCACTTCCGCCCTGTCCTCCGCCGGAGCTGCCGCCGCCAGAGCTGCCGCCGCCGAAGCTACCGCTGTGGCCTCCGCCGGAACTGCCTCCGTGGCCACCACTGTGGCTGCCGCCGAAACTTCCGCCTCCATGGCCGCCACCGGAACTGCCGCCATGGCTGCCGCCGAAACTTCCGCCACCATGGCCGCCACCGGAACTGCCGCCATGGCTGCCGCCGTAACTTCCGCCCCCATGGCCGCCACCGGAACTGCCGCCATGGCTGCCGCCGTAACTTCCGCCGCCGCGTCCGCCGCCGTGGCCGCCACCACTGGAAGGAGATGCGGGGAAAGGATGATCACAGGGAGTTAGCGCTAGCGTTGGGAATTCATGGTTCACTCTCTAGATTATTGGTTGAGGGAATACATCATATTTTGAGAGAATACAACTCTGCTAGCTATGCGTTAACATCCATCATTTAAAAAGTTTTTATATACATAATCAATTTAAAGAATCATTCTTGGGCCCAGCTCTTAGAGCCCAAGCCTGTTCTGCACGCTCTTTTCTGTACTCTGCTGCCTCTGCCAAACTACCAGAACTACAGCTACACACACGTCTCCCTGCTTGCTGGCATTTTCTTGAGGTTGAGGTAAGCTTTGCTGTCCAGGATATGGAAAGACAGCAACTAGGATACATTATAAATTTTGCTATTTACCTTCCCTCTCCTTCTAGCAGGCTGCGGTAGGTCTGAATTTCATTCTCCAGTCGGATCTTGATGTCCAAGAGTACTTGGTATTCAGAGTTCTGGCACTCGGTTTCAGCCCGAATCTGTTGCAGCTGTTCTTCCAGCGCGGAGATCTGGGCCTGGATCTGGGAGAGCTGTACGCAGTAGCGGCCTTCTGTTTCTGCCAAGGAGGCTTCCAGGGATTGTTTCTGAAAAGGAGATGTTATTGTCGCTTAGTGACCTCGCTCAATTGAGTTTAGGGAAATCTAGTACGACATCATGTGGAAGAATAAAGAAAATAAATAGGATTTATTTTATGGACAATGTCCAATTCTGGCACCTTTACACCCGAGCTCATGGCTCTTTTTCTTCTTATCCCCAACTCTGTATGAATATGAAATTTAGTACAATAAAAGAGAAGTCATTGAGAAGACCTACCAGGGCCAGTTGGGACTGCAGTTCGATCTCCAGGCCTTGAACGGTGCGTCTTAATTCAGTAATTTCAGTTTTATGGCTGGACATTTGTTCAATGTTGCTATCAATTTCTGTAGTAAGTTCCTTGCTCTACAATATTAAAAATGGCAAAAGATGAGAAAATCCTGATATACTAAGGAAATTTCCCTGAACTTTGCTATGAAAGTCGACTTACCTTCTCATTGAACCAGGCTTCAGCATCCTTACGATTTTTATCGGCAAGTTGTTCGTACTGGCTTCTCATGTTATTTAGGAGCTCAGTCAGATCGACACCTGGGGCAGCGTTCATTTCCACGTTCACATCGCCAGTGGACACATTCTGAAGGTCTTTCATTTCCTGTTTGAGGAACAAAAAGTTTTAAGGATCACACTATGACCGCAGTAGATATTCTTTTCTGCTGGGGGAGATAAAATTTCATGTCACCTCTTCATGGTTCTTCTTCAGGTACTGCAGCTCTTCACTGAGGCTCTCAATCTGCATCTCCAGGTCAGACTTGTTGAGGGTCAGCTCGTCCAGCACCCTGCGCAGCCCGTTGATGTCAGCCTCCACGCTCTGGCGCAGGGCCACCTCGTTCTCGTACCTGAAACAAACCAGATTCACATAAATCCCAGGTGTACCCAGATTGAGACTGTCTGCAAAGAGAACATAGACTTGGTTTCATATCAAGGCAACCTTGATCGTATACAAATTCACATCAGAGTATTAGTGGTTTAATGCAAAATAAAACAACAAAACACAAAAAACAAAACAAAACAACAACAACAACAAAAAAAAACCCGGCTAACAGTTGCTTTCAGGTAAATTTTCTTCCCTTGAAGATTGCCAACAAGGCATTAAAATTGGAAATGTCTCATACAACACCCATGCTAATTCATTGTGGATAAATTCAGGAAAGTGTGGATACTACTGTTCATATCCAGTCATTGTTTAAAATGACTGAGGTATTTGCTTGGGTTGTGTCGTAACACAGCCACTCAGCTTACTTCAGCCTGAAGTCATCAGCTGCCAGTCTGGCATTGTCAATCTGGAGCAGGATATTGGCATTGTCAGTTGTTAGACTGAGGATCTGGAGGGAGAGATAAATTATTTTAAAAGAGGCCCATTGCTGACATGGCTTTTATAATGGCATAGATGAATACATTTTATGTTGTTTCGTGTTTTCTGGGGGGAGGTTATTAAGAATATAAAATGCCTGAAGCTTGCCCAGCTACTTCAAGTTGAATCATTCTCTGGAACCTTCTATATTCTTCTAGTCCTGTGCCATCCCTTTCCCCAAACCAGCTGGAATTGTAGGGGTGCGTTTCTGCAAGTGTGCCCCCTCCTATCTTGCAGTGCTGGGAATTGAACCTGGGACCTCACACATGGTCGGCAAGTGCTCTCCCACTGAGCCTTATCCCCATTCCTTCCTTTATACTTTGTGGTTTTCATGTATTTTAGGCAGCTTTGTCCTGACTCACACCTGTATTTGTTTAATTTGTATAAATATTTCCAAGTATATTTACTGTGAATTGGTAGTTACAACTTAGTTTTTTCTGGAAGCAAAAAAATAGTCTCATTTCCATAATGGAGCTTTCATGTTTTGTTTTTTTTTGTATTTTGTTACTGAATATAGTTTGCTATCAATCACAATAATATTTCTCTCATTCATTTAACCTTCATGTTCCCACAGTTGTAAAGGATCTAGCGTATTGTAACTATAGATTCATTTATATTCTCATGAAAATTTAAAATATTCTCAGTAGTGTGCCGTCTTAGAAGACTACAGACATGCTGTGTGAGGATGGCCTTGGCCACCCCTTTAGAAATATTTATCTTTGATGAGACTGGATTACATTTAGAAGCAGGTAAGTAACATAAGCCACATTATGCTTAATTTAAGACTTAACTATCTGTGTTACATGGATAGAAGTAAAGTTGGATTTAAAAATGCCTCTTACCTGGTTTTTTAGGTCATCAATGGTGTCATAGTATTTGCTGTAGTCCCGACGCTCTCCTCGGCTTGTGTTACTGTGCTTTTCATACCACTCCTTGATTTTACCTTCCAGCTCATAGTTGGATTCTTCCAGAGCCCGGACTTTGTCCAAGTAGGAAGCCAGGCGGTCATTCAGATTCTGCATGGTTACTTTTTCATTTCCAGAGAGAAGGCCACCATCGCCACCAAGTCCACCACCAAAGCCTCCTCCATAGCCACCTCCACCGAAGCTGCCACCACCGAAGCTGCCACCACCAAAGCTGCCACCACCGTAGCTGCCTCCTCCATAGCCCCCACCAAAGCTGCCACCTCCATAGCCACCTCCACCAAAGCTACCTCCACCATAGCCTCCTCCTAATCCTCCGTAGCCACCTGAGGAACCCCCAAAGCAGCCTCCACTAGAGCTCCCACGGCTGAAAGAACTACTGCTGAACCCTCCTGAGCTAAACCCTCCACCGAGGGATCCTTTGCTGCTTGAGATTCTGTGGGCTGACCCGCCACCACCTCCACCTCCACTGCGGGAGGAAGAGTATTGCTTTGAGGTGTACCGAACAGACATGGTGGTGCTGTGGAGCTCCGGGAGTGCCTGCCACCAGGGACAGTGACAGGTCCTTAAATACTGAGAGGGCGTGTCGCCCAGAAGTTAGGGTTTGCTTACTTGCGTGGTTTTGTTTTGCCAACTTAGCATCTTTGGCTCATGGTTGCATAAATTATCTTCAACAATCATCAATACCAATATGTGCTTGTGAATTTGTCCTAAGAACAAACAGGAGATTTGCAATGTTGAAATTCCAAATGGGTGGGGCTCGGGTGAGCATATGTTTCATGATGCTCTGCACCTTTGGAAGAACATTGAGCAACTCTCAAAATCTCTTTTTCTCAGCACAAATTAGGGCTGCACAGAATGTTGGCAAGCTACGGGGAAATATCTTAGGTATAAAAATATGATTATCATAAGATTTTGTTTTTAAATTGATGTTTTAAACAGTTTTAATTAATTGGAACAGTGAATGGCATAGAATCTCCTGGAACTATGCTAAAGGAAGAATCTTGTACAAAACTATAACCAAAAAGATTAAGGATATGCTAAACAGTTTCATTAGTGTATAACTATTGTCATATATAAATAAGTAAAAGTCATAAAAGCACAATTTGGGAAATTGTGGTGTGTGTGTGTGTGTAGGAAATTGTTTAATTTATTTGGAGATTGAGAGTATATTAATATTTTGCCTAGGAAAAATGGAAATGATCAATGGTGGAAGGATCTTCAAATTTAATGTCATTTTTAATGTTAAGTCGGAAATCATGAAATTATTCTAGGTTACTTTGCATTTTTAAGCTCCTCATAGTTAAGGTTTATTTACTTATTTATTTGGTACTGGGGATTGAACTCAGGACCTTGCACTTGCCAAGCAGGTGCTTATGCCACTGAGCTGTCTCCCCAGCCCCCCAGTTAAGGTCTGTGTGAAGACCATCATGCTGAAATCCTCACTTCAAGACCTGAAGAGCTAACTTCTCATGCTTCAAGATCTGATTGAAAAATAAAAAAGAGTGATGATTCAGGTACATTATGATTGTAAGTAAAGATTTGCAAAAATAGAAGGCCGAATTGGAGAATGACACTTGCTCCGACAGTCATGGACTAGACCTGCACATGCATTCCCCAGCTAGGCAGTGTTTCTCAACAAACAAATGAACAGCAGGTGCAGCTGTCTTAACATCTTTAGGAGAATGTAGCATTATGATTAACAGCTTGGCTCTTTGGCTCCTAGATTTTGGGTTTACTCTATTACACACACACACACACACACACACACACACACACACACACTTAAATTTTTTATTGTTGCTGTGGTGTATTTGATCTTGCAGAACCAAATGTCTTTCATTTTTAAAATAAATTCCCTATTGGGAAAACAGTGGAACAAACATAACTCAGAAGCATGAGGACATTGAAAGGGAAGCGATTTGGATTACACCTGTCCATCAGCAATTACTTTTTCAGGTTTAGTTTGTAGCTGCATATTCTAGTTTCTGAAAGTAACCGAGAGCTCTCTGCAGAGCAAAGGAATGCAGTCGGGAGGATTGGCAGCGTGCTGGTTACTACCCAGCAATTGCAGCTCCCGCAGCTTGTCAGCACACGTAAGTGGGGCAGTAGTGAAAAGAGGAAAAAAATAACCATGGGAATTGATTGTTGATGGTGATAATATACAGTAAAAGAAGGCTACGATAAATCAGGATAGAAAAAGAGACTAGGAGGAGCAGAGAGGGTACCAAGGCCTTGATTTTAGTGAAAGTTAATTGGAAGGAAAAACTTCATGAAAAGGATGTTTGAATTGATTTTTTTTGGCAATTATCACATTCTGAATCAACTAGTTTTGCTTTAGTATTAACCTGTAGCTCCCCACCCCCAGTAGAAAGCACAACTATTTCAGTCTAGTTTCAGCGAGTCAAGAGGTGGCACAGAAAGGTGGGCTGTAATGACATGAAGCATGAGAAGACAGCGTTTGTGCTTGGTTGTCACAATGCACAACAGCTGCGCTTTCATTGTTCTCAGTTTTTATTGTATGTCTGTGTAAAACATGTTTTAGGTGTTTAAGATAGATGAGTGAGATTTTTTTCCCTGTTATTTGGAGACAGGGTCTTGTTATACAGTTCAGGCTGGCCTTGAGCTCACTTTGTAGCCCAGGCTGGTCTTGAACTCAAAACAATCCTCCTGCCTCAGCCTCTCGAATACTGGGATTGCAGACGTGCCACCACACCCGGCTACCTTGTGTTTTTAGTTGGAACCCCCCTCCCCAAATCTTAGAAGTTCTAAGGAATTTCCCAAGATCAGTCTGTGCGAGAGCCTGTCTTGAAGCAGGCAACACCACTACCTAGACAGTAGCTCCCATCACACTGAACTGGACCACGGGCGCAGGGAGCCGGGCGCTGGGTCATGTCATAACGGGGCTGCCCCACAAAAGGTCATGGTGCAGTGGAACTGGAGCTCAGTCTTTAAAAGAATGAGTAGGATTTTTTAATGAGTGCATTTGCACATTTGCAGGGGAGAGAGAGAGAGAGAGAGAGAGAGAGAGAGAGAGAGAGAGAGAGAGAGAGAGAGAGCTGTTCTAGAAAGTGGGCACCATGCACATGCCAAGCAGGTAGAGGCTCCGAATGGACCAGTTTGGCTGGAACAGACCGTATTTATTAATTTATTCATTCCTTCATTGGGTTTTATGGGACATGGCAACATGACCTGGGTTTGTATGGGTGACGATGGCACAGTGCCTGCTTGCAGTGGAGTTTATGGTTCACTTGGAGAGGTAAACAAAACCCCTGCCAATGAGGGGTAATAATATAGAGCAATCCAGGTTACATTTGAGGTATGGACAAGCTTCTGGGTGTGCGGAGGGGGGTTCAGACACCTTGGTACATGAGAGAGGTCTAACTAGTGGTTCTGGTCCCGCCTTCCAGAGAGCTGGGCAACTAGGACACCTACGGTGCTGATAAGGTCTGTGTCTTCTCATTGGAAACTTAGATTCAGTGATCTGAAAGCCAGGAGCACTCTTATGTCACACCATTTTTCTGAAACTTCTGGAACTACTTTGCTGCAAGCCACAAAACCATGGAAATCACCTTAAGACTTTTTAGAGTCGTGTAGCAGCCTGGCCAGGTGGGACTCCAGCTTGAGGCTGCTTGGAGTGTAGTCCAGGCTTCACCAAAGAGCCGAGCGGCTTTCACCCTCTGCTCTCCTGGAGGCAGGAATACTAACTTTTCCCACCCTGTGGGGCTAACCTGGGACCCGAGTGAGTTTGTCAACACGAAGCATTTGGAACAGTGGCTGGTAAATGTAGAAGAGTTCAAATAATATTTTTATCAGTACTGTTGCTGTGGTCTGTGTCTTGGATCTCACAGCAGACCTCGAAAATATGAATGAATGAAAGAGAGCCGAAAGTGGAAAATGGTCAATGGGGAGGAACAATTCAGCCGAAGAGGGAGCGGGTGTGTGGGATGGGACTGAGTCTAGGGGTTTTGTGCCAAATCAGGACCATCACCTGCTCCCTCTCCCACATTTGCTATGTCTGCTGAGTCACCAAATTTGTTACTTAAGGTCATTTCTGATATAGTTATCTCTTTCTGCCCAGTGTCCCTGGGATGTCCAAGCCCGGGTGCTCACCACTGCTGCCAGGATTGTTTTGCTGGCTTCATTTATTTTTATTTATTTATATATTTTTAGTAAGGGCCTACAGGGTCTACAGGGTTTCACTACATAGATTGGACTCATAGTGATCCGCCTGTGTTCAGCCTCCCAAAGAGCTGGGATTACAGGTGTGTGCCACCACGCTGGCATGGCATACCGGGGATCGAACTCTGCTGCTGCTGTGCCTACCTAAGCAGGCACTTTAATCTGCCGAGCTTTGGCTTTGCTGGCCTCTGAAGTGGATTTTGTTGGCTCCTCCCTCGGCCAGTGCTGCTCGCTGGGACTTGATTGCCATGCTAGGACCAGGGCTGTCATCACTCTGTCAACAGGCTCACGCCCTGCGGATGGACGGAGCTCTTTTCCCAAGCTTTCTCGCCCAGTGCCTCTACCTTGTGCCTGGAGGAGAGGGTGGCAGGATGGAAAGAGAGCCGCAGCCTCCTCTTCAAGTAATTATGTGGCCTCAGGTGAGACACACGGCCCTTCTGTGTCTGGTTTATAGTCCCATAAAATACAAAGTAATAATATTAAGTGTTAGATACACATGATAATAATCCATGATCCACTGAAAAACATGAGAGTGTTTCCTTCAAAAACTCCTTTAGCCATGCACAAGTCTCTGCTTTGTCTCCTGGCCGCAGAGATCTGCCGCACCGGTCCACCTTCAGGCTGCTGTTTGTTGCTCTGGACTCACCCCACCCCTCCCAGGTTGCTGGGCTTATTCAAATAATCTTTCTTGAACTTCCAACTCTAGATTAAACACCATCTTCTTCATTAGGCTTCTTAGTCTAGTTCGCGGCTGTCTCTCCTTTCCTGTGTTGTATGACTAGAATGTTATAAGCTGTGATGTTCTGGCCTGCTCCCTGTTGTTCCCACCGAGTGAGACACGATACTGAACTTTCTTAAGGTAGGGCGGGCGGGCGGGCGGGCGGGCAGGGGCTTACACACTTGCTGCCCACAGTGGGTACTCGTTCTCCAAACGATTTCAGGCCATCTCTGTCTTTTCCCACTTTCTTTTCTTGCCTTTCATTCTGTTCTCTGAACTTTTGTCCTGTGTGTTTTGGGAATAGTGCAAGTTAAAAATGTAAACTGAGGCTAATTAAAGATAACTAAGTTAATTTTACTTTAAGAGAAATTATGATACATTTATTTATTTATCGAGACAGTGCCTCACTATGTAGTTCTGTGTAGCCCAGGCTGGCCTCAAACTCACTGTGATCCTCCTGCCTCAGCCTCCTGGGTGTTGGGATTACAGGTGTGTGCCACCACACCTGGCTATGAACACTTTTAGACTTGGCCCAAACTTATAATTTCAAGGATGACTGGACACATGCCATTGATATTAACTGCATATGACTTCTGATTAATTTTTACTATTGGTTTCTGGGAAGA